TTTCTTAGTTTAAGCAGTTCCTCAAATGTGGTGTTTAGTGTAATAAGCTTATTAATATAGAGTTAAATATTATATTTTTTAATTTGGATATGCAGTTTTTTTCACACATTTTCCGTGCAAAGAAAAAGAGAAGTCATCATGAAGAAAACCTCTCCATCTTTTGTTAAATGGAAAAAGTCTTCTTATATAGTACTTTATGTCTCAGACAAAATTTTCAATTTACCTATTTTGGTAGACTACAGATACCAGTTCAGTGGTGAAAAGTTTCTCCATCTCTTTGCTCTCTATACAAAGTTGACCTTTATTTGTCCATTGGATACTAACATTATACATCTAACCCAGGTACTGTGATCACCCCGGGGCTTGCCTTCCATCTGTTTGGCCTGGGTCCAGACTGCTGTAGTGTTAGCCAGTGTGACTCTTCAGAACAGGAGGCTATCTACATGTATCATATCAATCCTCAGTCTTTAGACACCGCTGGTATCAATCAGGAGGTCCTCATAGGCAACAGGAGTGAAGATCTGCAACCTCTAAGGGTAACATGTGCACACACATACATACACACATACACACTAACTCACATGGATGTTTTCTAAGTATTAGTATTACATCCTATTATATCAGTCTGTTTTCAGTATGGCCAATTCAAATTAATTTCTTACATGTCATAAATAGCATCCTGACCAGGCATCCAAGTTAGCAAATTTTTGGCATTAATTTTATCATTTTTCTCCAAAACAGTTGACAAAATTTACCATGAAGCAGTATTGTGTATTTACACTGTTTTGCCTTTTAGGAAAATTTGCTCATGGTCTACATACCAAAAAACCCACAACAGGTCAACATGTATGACCCCTGTGGTCCAAAAGATGGCAAAACCCTGACACGGCTAGCCATGTCCCTATCCACAGCACAGAAGGCCAGCAATGAGAAGATCTTGAGGCAGCCTCTGCAGGTGAAACCAATCAAGGGGCAGTCCAGTGTGTTCCCTCTCATGCATCGCGGCATAGAAATCACCGTTGATGAGATAGGAGGAGTTGGAGTTTTCCTGTTTTTGTTTGCAAAGGTAAAATGTGATTTTGAGACCTTTTTTTTCAGAGCATGAGAAGAGAGGTGTTATTTGAAATAGTTTGGAATATGTGCCAAGATGGTGATCATGCTATAAACTTTTTTAATGTCATTTTATGATTTTTATGGAGTGAAAAGGGGTGAACAGATATTTGTAAAAACTTGGAATGTGTGCCAGATAATGTTCAAACTATTCATCATATACACTGCTAAATATTTAATGTAGGGGTTTGTGATTGTGCCATCAGTTAAATTCTTCTGTGAATTTATATACAGTTTACTTTTTAATTTTTTGATCTCACAACCTACTGTAGACAACCAGTGAATAATTATAAATGTATGTTATACCACAGGTGGTGGAAAACTCCACAGAGCAGGAGCAAGCAAGTGCTCTCCGCCTGTTGTTCAGTCTACTAAGACACAGTAAGAAACATGCCCAAGACTTCAAGGAAATGTCAGGATACTCCCTGCTGGCCAAGGTCATGTCCACTGATAAGTTCATCAACAGCTTTCAGGTCTTGAAGGTATAGTATTTTAATAATATTGATATTGTAGGAAAATAGTGTAATAATATTCATGTATTCTACTCATTTGTTTTTAAAGTGTCATTCATTTAAGATATGGCAGATGGATCCTTCTTTTATGATAAAACCAGCTTTGAGTATGTTCTATATCTTTGTGAAGTTAAGTGAGTATATTACAAGCTTTTAGTATGTAACAGATTTATTGTGTTTTAATACATATGTTCACGGAAATGATCAGTTGCATTTTAAAATCACTAAAAATAAGTCACAAACAAAACGCCAGGACTTAAAATGACAATTATTTTATAGGTTCTTCTGGATGCCTGCCTCAGTGAATCAGTTATCCACTTCAACACAGTGACCAAGGCATACTCATTTATTCCATATGCCAAAGCCATAATCCAAGATGTCAGTATTGTTAGAGAGATCTTGCTGGCTTGGAAAGTGTGGGACAAAGGAAATGTGGAAGTGTGGCATTTGTGCTTTGTTGCATTGGAGGAGTTGATCAAAGAACAACACCCTTATAGGGAGTTTAATAGACAGCAACTCCACTGTGCTAAAACTGTGGACAAGTTGTTAGTTACATGCCAGGTAGAGTGTAAATTATACTGTATCAACTCATTAAATAAATTCATTGGTCTTCAGAACTGTTTCTTATTGTCATACTTACGTAGTCCCAGCATCTAGCAAATGAGTTTGTTTTTTAGTGAACAGCCTTTCTCATTGTAATGTCTCATTCCACTATATTTGCAAGTGTGCTGGCTCATTAGAGGGCACTATTGTCATGTTCTTTATTGTATACAGTGATGCATCCTCTACAGTAATTTTTATAATGCTTTGTCAGGTGTGTCCACAACCATTATGTGTTCACATTAAGTTGTAAGATTCATACCATAGTTAAATGGAGGAGGGAAACATTTAAATGCTGTGATCTCATATAATTAGTTAAAAGCATATTATTATTGAGATAGTTACTTAAAGTTCAATGCATTTCGTCCCTTTCATCACACAGGAAAGGATCCAGGAGGCATGTCCCTCTCTGCCACTACCAATCTGCAGTAGTATGGTGAAGATCATAGGTCACATGATGGGGAGTCCTCCTGATATTAACATAGTAGTCACAGTGTGCGATTTCCTCCTCATTGCTCACCCTGCTGCTAGCACATTCATCAACCACACTGCAGATTCATTTTGGTTCACACATCACTGGGGTAAGGTTATTTTGTTATTTTGACATGAAAATTTAAGGATGATATTTTTCAGACTGATGGAGGATTTTAAAGCTTTTTTTTACTCCTGATGGGCCATTGTTAAGAGTGGTTTGGCTGGATATTTTAGATTTTTTGCCTAAAAGTCGATCTTGTGCTTGAAACATAACTTACAAGGATGAGGCACTTCCTCCTTTTGGCAGATTTCTTTCTATTTGTGAAAAAGGGTTCCACAGTTCCTTGGTTTTGTATGAAATTGTCAAAAACTTGGGAGAAGTTTTTTTTTTTCCTTTTTGATAACATTCTCTTGTCCCATAGCTGCATTACACAGGTTTTTTTTAGTATAGTCAGAGCTTGTTATGATGGAAAAAAATTGATTCTAAAAATACATATGCATGTTTATGTAAATGCACTCATTTTATTTTTGCAAATGTTTCTTGCATGCTTATGTGTACTTCCTTAAGTAATATGTACATAATATTGGATGCATTTCATTTAATGGTCATATTTCAGTTAATGTGATAGAGCCAAATGAATATAACAAATGAAATGAAGGTATCTGTTGATTGTTATTGACATTCATTCATTCATCTGCTTTAGCTTCTGGCAAAAAAGAAAAGAAGAAAGAGAAGCAGAGTTTGTCCAGCACACCCTCTAAGGGCAGAAGTCCCAGCAGAACCTGGCATCGTAGCGTTGAAGATGTGGTAGAAACTGACCAACGAAATCTTACTGCAGATGTCATTGCTGGAGGTGATAACTGATGTCTTGCCTTGCACTCATGCTTAAGTTGTTACATGAAGGGATATTGAAATATTAATTTTAAAAGATTAAGTGAAGTAATTTTTTTGTTATTAATCTTTTGGTTATATCTTTGCTTACTTGTTAACTATTTACAGAAAAATCCTTTTTGTGTTAACTATTTGTAAACGTTTTTGTAGTTCTGAGAATACTTTCTTTTCATCTTTACATGCTACCAACAGCTCATGTATGAAGTTTTTTTTTTTTTTTGGATCAGAGAGAAGACTGTCTGTTAGCTTACCAAGTTCTCCAAACACTGTCAAAAGGCAGTTGAGCTTCAAGGATAGTAATTTCCAGTTTGTGGCATCCGAAAACAGTGACAGTGACATACTTCTCTCATCTGCTGAATCTAGATCTAGATCACAAACATACCCACCTTTAGCAGGTTGCCTCGATCAAAAAGAACTGACTCATGCGCTGACTACTATTTCAACTGACACAAATGAGGATAATATTGAAGACAAGGAAGCTTTGAATGACGTGGAAAATGAAGAAGTGTTCCCACCACCTCAAGTTGAAGAAAATGATAATTCTGAAGATATCTTTTCTAAAGCAAGAAATTCAGCACATACAAGAATAAATGTTCATTCAACTACCATGGACTCTGATGCTTGTGTCATCTCCCTGGGGTCAGCTTCAGAAGATCAGATTGAGCACAGAGATACTTTCAGAGGCGGGGATCAGGAAGGTCCTGAGATCTCAGCGAGGATCCCAAGTAAAGATCATTCAACCCCAGAATCCTACATGACTGCTGTATCTGGTTCTAGTGTTAATACCAAGATTGCAGATGATACCAGTCCTGTTATATCACCAGGAACTGGTGAAGTGACTGAAGGTGGCGCCACTGCACAGTCTAAACCTAAAGAGTTGCAGAATGACAGCAGTAACCTTTTAAGTGATGTTAGCAATAGTCAAAGTGAAGACTGGGAACTGTATCCAGATCCAACTTCTATGAATAGTGTGCAAGTTTCTCTGGAAAATGCCAATAAAGATGGCATTGATGAGGTAGATGAAGGAGAGAAGGGATTAGTGGTCGTCTGTTCAGGTAAGATATTTAATATTTTCCACATAGCTAAATGAAAAATTATAGATTTTAGTTTGTTGAATACATTGCATGCATTAATATAGCTTTAAAAACTATTTACAGTGTCAACAACACTTCAAGAATTTTTGTTTCTCAATTCTCTGTAAAATTTTTTCAAACAATAATCTCTGATTATCAGATGATAAAATAAACTTTTGATAACTTTGGTATGTATTACATTCATTTTGTTACAGCTGATTTTGTTTCAAACCTCATTAATCAACTTTGATCTTTAAGCACAGGTATTTCCATTCAATTTTTCAAAAAGAAAATTATAATCTTTATTTCCATCAGGCCTGCTTCAGCTTTTGCAAGGAGTTGTGATAAATTTGTGTGATGTAGCTTCCAAGAGGATACTGGGAATGGTTTTACGTCCTGAGGTCCTGTTAGTGTTGGCTCATCACAATTCTCCTGAGATCAGAACTGCAGTAGTACAGGTAAGCATGTATTCTGTCTTTTGCCGTTGAGATTTTACAGTAACATTTTTATGTACCACCATGCAAAGCCACAAGTTCATTGAATTTGCCCTTCCTCTTATTTTAAAATAAATCTTGTACCATGAAACACTCATTGATAGAAAGAATTGGATTGAAACACAAAGTTTCATTTCCAGCTCCTAGATGTCTATTTCCACCGTGCCACAGATGAACAGTGCGAGAACTTCCTGAAGATTCAGGGATTCCACCTTCTAGGCAGTCAGCTCCACCAGCACCAGGCCACCCGCTCTCTGGTGGAGGCCTGCCTGGCAATGGTGTTTGGGAAGTTACACAGCATGATAGATGAGTGAGTAGATTATTTCATGTGGTGACGATTTGTGGTGCCACGTTTTTGTATTTGGGAATTTGACAATATTTTGCTCAGTCATAGCAAGTATATAGGTTATATTCAGGTAGCTTGTATTTAAACATTTCTTAGTATCAGCTTAGCATTATGTTAACTTAGAAAATTATGTTAACTATATATTATATAGCCTAAGATATAAATTTTGTTCTTTATATGTCAGCATCGACCCTAACCAGCTGTCAGACCTCCGCCCACTGCAACAGTCAGCCATCACCCCAGTCCTGGCACTGATGGAGAAAACTGTCTATGACACATCCCTGTGCCATAATGCCATATGTCTGCTCATTCAGGTAACTTACAGTGTAACACTTTGCTTGGCACATTTGCTAGCATTCAGTAATGCATAGTTAGATAATGCAAGAAGAGGAGGAATCAGATTGAAAAATATTGACATTTTGTGGAATCAAATTGAAAAATTGTTGATATTTTACAATAGTGGAGTTGGTATTTAAAATTCTACTAGGTCAAAAGTGTATTCTTTTTTAACATAGTTTCACCAATGATACAAACTTGTCCCATATAATACAATCTTTCAGCTGTTTGAGACGGCCCCACAGATGACGCAGGTGATGCTGGAGAATGGTCTGGTAGAGGTGCTGGGCAACATGGTAGCAGCCATCAACAAGAATGAACCTAGGTATGTAGGGGACTGACAAGTCCTTTTATTGACCTACATGTACTTCTTTATGCCAACTTTAAGATTGTTCACCAGCAAATTATTGGGTTATTGAAAAGGAAAAAGTACTGTGCATTGTTTTATGGATCAGGGGCCATTCATAATGAGTTAGGTCAACCTAGCTATTGGGACCTATAGCTCCATGGGAACTCTCACTGTATGCACTCAGATTAACATACCTCTTGCTGCCAACGTTCTCATATAATCACCACCTTCTGTTTTCTAGTTAATGCCAGGAGGTTGCTCTATTGTAGACCACTCAAACTCTTTCCTTTTGGAGTTAGGGGAACACCACCATTATGCCCCATTTCGGAAACATTTTGCCCTCTCTAACTTGCTTATATATGAAAAGTGACATTGAGCACTTAACTATTGTTCAGTCTTAACTTCTCAGGGTGGAAGAGGTATTGATCATTAGTATTTTTGTGCAATTGTCCTTGTTGCTGACTTTTTATGTTATTGGAAAGCTTGTTGTTTTCTTTTAGAATATCTGACATAATTGGTGAGGATGAGCAGCAGATTGTAGTAGAAGATATCCAGCATTTTGCTGCCATGATTGCAGTCAAGACATTCAGGTGAGTACCAATGAATATCATGCGCATTATCCAATGAAAGAAATTTGATACTCACCTTAAGAAGAAATATATATGTAAATATGATAATTTGTTACGTTTGTATTTCATTTAACAGTTATGTTTTATAGACTGGATGCATTTCTATGGGGATTATCTTATTTACTGTTATTGTAATGTCTGATGAATTACAGTTGATATATACATAATATATCATATTATATTATGTATATCATATTACAGCACATCAGGAGTGTCATGCTACCAGCAGTTTGATGACATGATGACAATGTTTTCTATATTAGAGATGAAGGAGGAAGAAAGATATGGTAAGAAAGGGTGGTAATCACTTATAAATGTTATTTGTTGATATGAATTACAATACCAAGATTGTTTATTTATTTTAAAGAAAAGAACTTTCATATTTCTCATTTTTTTTGGATTTACCTTATAATTTCAGTCATTTTTCTCTAAAGCACCAATGTATATTTTCAGGCTTGCAGTCAAGAGCTGTGGAAAATGTCCGCAGCATCCAGTGTTCATGTTTCCAAGCTGTTTTAGAATTTGTAGAGACCAAGTGTACAATAGAAGACAGAGGGGTAGTGGCTAATCTGCCATTGCCATATATAAAGTCTGCTTCATCCCTGAATGATCAGAGCCCTCTGGCCCTCCCAGTTGTCACCAGTCGTAGGAAGACAGAAGGTAGGTTTAATAAAGCACCCAGAATTTTTAGAATTTTTAATTATTGCAAGGCTGATTTATAGCTTGCCTTGATGCTTTCAAGTGGTATATTTTAAAATGACGGATAATTTTCTTCATGTAAAATTTTGACAGTATGTTCCATGTCCAAAGACTGTTTGCAGTAATTACTCACTGTACAAATACATGTTAGTATATTTATCTCTACTATTATTATGAATACTTGGATGTTGCATTCTACTTGTATTACATACCTTGAAGTTGACCAAATATGTTGCTATTTGTTTAAAATTGATGTCAAGATTAATTTCACAATTTGAATTTGTTACTGATTATCAGTTAATTTATCAACTATTGCCTTTGATTAGTTATCACTTAAATTGATATGTTGTGAAATATTTAGGTTCATGTCATTCATCATAATTTTGTTTGCTGTCAGTGTTTATAAATTAGTTGATTTTTCCCACATTCATGATCAGTTTTGCTTCGTTGCCTCTGCTTACCTTCTACCACCTTATCAGTACATTTCACCATTCCTGTGCTTCATTTATTTGATTTTTATGTGAGCAATTAGAGGAAAGATGCAATGTATTCAAAAGTGAATGGTTCCTGTTAAATTTTGAATAATTTGTATAATTTTGATTGATATTATTTGGTTTTTAGAAGAATTTAAGTCTAAATGAGCAGTTTTTTTTTTGGAAGTCAAAAGATAATCAAATCAGTAATTAATAATACTGCATTTTGACTTTTGGACTGAACCATCTAGGTGCAGAAACTATGGTGTGGCATTTAAGAGTAATAAAGAACAAGAAAAAAGTTTTATTGTACTGAAAGCTATTCAAAATTGATTTTTATATTATTAAATTGTTATAAAATTAATTTGTAAAAATTGTAGGTTAGCCAACTGTAGATTGTTTTCCTTTTTAACAGCAGATTCCTAGTTTTCATCAATTACATTATTATAAGTATGAAAAAAGTTGAAAACTACATAATAGAAAACATTTGCCCATTTGACTCCCACTAAATTATCTGAATGCCCCTGTCCCCATTTCTCCCCATGTGCACAGTGGCAGAGCCAAGGAAGCAGAACTTCTTCATGAATGTGGGTATATGGCAGCAGCACCAACAGTTGCACAAACCACCTCTCCTAGGTGCAGTGTCCTTGGTCCCTGTCAGTGAGAGAGAAGTCACCCTGGAAGTAAGTGAAGAGAGTCCAGAGAGTGGTGCTGAGGATGTGGTGGATACTGTTTTTAACCTCAATGCTTCTAGAACAGAGAGGTAATTTTCTTTTGTAAAAGACCAAAGGGAAAATA